TTATTATTATTATTATTATTATTATTGTTATTATTGTCAAAAGGTTGTCCACTTTTGAGAATTTCTGTAGCAAAATTCTCATTATCATTTGCCATTGTTTAAATTTTATCTGTTATCTTTGAATTTTCAGATTTCAAACTGGGAATGTTTATTTGTTCCGATTACAAAGAGTGAAAAATGTGTTGACTGCAATAAATGGAAGTGATTATTTGTTCAACTTACAATGATAATGGATGATTATTTGCTCAAATTCCAATGGCTACAAGTTTCATTTAAAATTGATCACTTCCAATGATTAAAATTGATTATTTGATCAAGTCCTAAAACTGATAGCTCTTAAAAATCAAAAATTATGGTCTTTTTCAGGTAATTTTATTATTCGTTATCACTCTTAGGATGAGATATTTCAGGCTGATACGTAATCTTCTCAACATTTCTTATATTTTTAATTCTCACATTCCGCGGATTTTTCGATTTATCGAGACTTCATCCGGTTTTCTTCGAGAGTGTCACATGCCGGCAGCAGTTCTCATTTTCAGCACAATAAAGTTTTTGTATGAATTAACAATGAATATGCAATTTAGGTTAGTAACGTTTCTTTCATCAACAGTAGTTTATTTGTTGTATAGATGTTTGTGCATTCATCTACCAACAAAAATCTCACTAAATGCTGATTACTTTACGGGATAATAAGATATCCTCTCATAAGTATCTATTTATAAATACATGCATTATCCATTAACGTCTTTATTATCTTGAAGTACGTGTGTGTGCATAATTTTTTTGCACGCTTGAATAAAATATAGCCAAGAATTCAGTCTTTTATTTTCACATGTACTTTAATACATAAACTCATTCAACAAACATATACTTTTTCAGGATTTATGTTAAAAGCATACGTTCAAACACACGTATGTTCAAGCACATTCATCTACACTCTCCAAATTTTGTAAATATTTTATACGGTTGACGTTAATGAAAAAGAAAGATTATTACATTTCTTGTTATATAGCAATATGAGCTCGCATTTAACAAATACTATTATATTGTGATAGCATTTACCTGAAGTTCTTTCTTATAATTGAATTTCTTATGAAATTGAAATTTATAAAACAATCCTTACTTCGAGCTTATTGAAAAAAATTATAAAAAGCCATACAAATAGAACTACCTTTTTAATAAAATTATTTTTTGAACTGACAGATAAATCAGGTAAAAATCTTAATTTCAGGATAAGTTTTTTCAAAAAAAAAAACGAATATGATAACTTACGCTTTCCTCTTATAATTTTTAAGAAAGTAAGGTTTTCTTCTGCAAATCTATTTTTTTAAATACAGCGTGTGATTTCAACAAATATGCTTTTTCTCCTTTCTACCCTTTTTGGCAAATATTTTGTCATAAAATTTGCATAAAAGTCTATTAATATTAGAATATTTGATTATTAATAGATTTATGTAAAATTTGTTAACTTTTTGTTTTTTTCAGGAGTTTTAAAACAGAAAGAAGTGAAAATTGTTTGAACAGTTTCGACGTATATGAAGGCTCGCGCAGTTGTTCTTACTAATATCGTTTTCATTTTGATCATGTTTATGATTTTTATAGTTTATAAAACTTGCAAAAATAATTTTAAGAGTTTTATAAACTGTAAGAATACTTCTGGGTATTTGCATACACTCTGTTAATGATCAAATATTTTATGAGTAGAAAAACATTGTATTTTCAGTGCATAATAATTGTTTCAACCACGTGCTAAACGTTTAGTAGTACTTCTTTCTATTTGCATATTATCACACTTCAGCTAGTAAACATGAATTTGTTAATTCTTTTATTTGTATTTCTGATCAAAAATAGTTCATTATTTCAATTCAACTAGAATAATTTTTCGATTCTTTACATACTTTCAAAAAATTGTACTACACTTTTTGTGGAATTTTTTACGTATTAGCATTAGACCTTCAAGGTATTACGTGGTACTTTTATATTGATTTTGTGGGTTGATCAGAAAATATCGGGAATGAAAAATTTTTGAGAAAAACCTGAAGGCTATTTGGATTGTTAGAAATTCATTACAGTTTTTCACAGTGTCGCAA